GGAGCATCATCATCTTACGGAACTCTAATCGCCGCGATGGCGACGGCCTCAGTTTTATACATGGACGGTAACAACGGTCTCTTAGCTCACGTTTTACAAACTTTAAAAAGTTTTAAGTGCTTCACGACAACGACGGCGACGGTAGGACGGTGTCTTTAGTCTAAACAGTACAAGTTGTATAGAAAGGAAGCAAAAAGAGTTTAAAACTACTGTAAAATGAAGGATGCTCAAAGGTAATGCGATACTTGTATAAACTTGCATTTTAAACTAAGTTTGCTGTTGTATTTTGTGTATTTTTAACCGATTTCAAAAAAAGAGGTTATCAGTTTGGATTATTTCGCGATTGGCCGAATCGATTTTGATGTGGTTTTCAGAAAAGTGGGAAAAGTTTCAGAAAATTATACATAAGAGAAAGTTTGAGTATATTAATTAACTGACTTCAAAAAAGAGGGAGTTGAAGTCGGTTTTTTTTAAACAACGTTTGTAAAATAATTATTTGTGTGCGTTTTTTTTATCAGGATCGTGTAGTCTATAATTATATGACCGAACGTTCTTTAAACATGGTAGGATTATATTATTGACACGAGAGAGTACTCGATATAACACTTTTTTAAGATATTGTGGCCTAAATTAACAAAACAACTCACAATAACGTAAGAAAAGGCGTGCCAAGAGGCTCATCAACGAAGATGCGCTTGTGGATGCCTGACTTCAAAGCTTCGAACACAGGCGTAAGGTTGCAAGCCTTTCGGTTTTCTACCGGATACATTTCGCTGAGTGTGCAGGGGAATTACAAAACTTGATTCCCCTTAGTCCTTTTCATCATCGTACCACAATACAAATTGGCAAAGCATCACCGATTCATGGTAATTGTCCCACCCGCACGAAGCGCTTTGCATCAAGCACTCTTGTACATACGTACTGCTAAGAAGTGGAAAGGGTTATAACCTGGATGTCGTCAAGGCCCGGGTGAATAGCTTGCTTATGGGATGACGTGCCCCGTCGCAAACCGCATCATCGCTTACCACCAGGCGAGATAGTAGTCAAACGTCAGCCCATCAAAAATATAAAAAAAACTTATAGTAAAAATCAAGATACTTCTGAAATCAAATGCTTTAATATTTTTCAGCTTTTGTCTCTCTATTGTACAACATAAATATGTACATACCACTAAAGAAAGAGTTTGTATTCTGAAACCGAGCCTGAGATAAATACTTACAGTATTTGTCGAAAAGCTATAGTATCGCTGCGCTAAGCTATAGGTAAGCTGGGCGTAATCCACTCGTACACCATGCGTGAGCTTTCAATCGTATTTTCCACAAAGGTAAACGACCCAAAATCTACAAGCCGCAACAATATCACTTGATCCATTTCTTGATATTCTGAAGGATTTCCGTGAGATTCGTCGATGCCGCTTATTTTACAAGGAGCACAACTTTTTTCGTTACTCTTCGGGACTTTTCGGTGCTCTTCGGTAGTTATCGGCGCTCTTCGCAGTACTTCGGTGCTGTTCGGTAGACTTTGGCGGTCTTCGGCGTTCTTTGGCGTTTGTCGCGTCTGATAACGAAGGCGGTGTCATAGCTGCCGACTAGATAAGCCCCGTAAACCGGTAATTACCGTCGTTTGCACTTCCCGGCAAACGCTCGTTTTGCTTACCTTGTTTATTCAGTTTCAGCGTAATTGAGCTAATTTTCTTCATTAAAATTGTTTAATTTTTGTCGTTTTGAATCTTCTAATGGAAGGCGAGAATTATCGTTATCATATTTTATACCAATTACATAATTGTCGTTATATTATAAGTAGATGAGTTTTATATGTATATTTATACAATATTTTATAGTCTTTGAAAATAAGTAACCACGAAATTACATAACTTAGCTTTTATGTAATAACTTACAAAGATTATCAATTTAATTTCAATTTAGAAGACAACGACGGTTGAATTCAAGGAAATGTTAGATAATGCCATCGTCTTACTTCGATGGAGATAATAATTACACGGCCTTTTTAACAGAATTGCTGTTTCTTAGAATCTATGAAATTATCGCAGAGAGAAAGTTTCACAGTTCGTTGCTCCCGTAACTTTGAGGCATAAAGATATTCGCGCCATATCTCTGTGAGATCTTCCATACTATCTTGAGTTTCATCGTGGAATATAATTTTCAAGAAAATAGCTTTGTTATATGTGGGTATAATTTCTAAATAGGCTGTTGACCTAATTTTACGTAAAGTCAGGATAAATATTAAGTTTATGAAGGCTCATCATTTATTACCCTCTACCGTTTTCTATTTTGATATTAAAGAACTTACTTACTTATGTCCGTAAATTAATTGAACAAAGATTATTGCCTTTTTTTATACCAAAAAAGCACACGGCCCACTTGATAGTAAGCGGTTACCGTGGCCTATGTAAGCCTGCAACACTTGGGGCATTACATATACTTATTCATCTCTTTATTTTTTTAATATATCCTCTTCTACATTCTACACCTGACTAAAGTTTGCCTAACAAACGCATAAACCACATTCAGTTGTGGGTTTACCACGAAAGCCCGCTTTATTAAACATAAATTATTCTATTTGCACGTGTTTCTGCAAGTGAATTTCAATTCCGCATATGTAATAAAACGGTTTTATGATTCAGTGAAACATTGCCTAATAAACGCAAGCTCCATTGATGTTTAACGGAAACAACTTTGATCTGGAGGGAGTTATAGACAAGTTAATTCTATAAAGTTTGATTTGCACATACAATGCCAGATTCAGTAATGCACAAACAATCTAATATACAATCATCAATAGCCTATAAGTGACCACTGCTGACCAAAGGCCTCTTCTTACACGGAGAAGGTTTTAGCATTAATCACCACGCTTGCTCACTGCGGGTTGGCGATATCAAACTTGTAATTAAAAATTATAAGTCAGGTTTCCTCACGAAGTTTTCGTTCACTGTTTGTCAGTGGTGTCTAATAGAAGTCACATTAGTGTTTGCCATTGGTTGGTAGGTTTCTGAAATAAAATAGTTTTATTCAAGTAAAGGCACTACAGCAGGCCCAAAAACTTGCTGCTATTTAAAAAAAAATCTTGACAGAGACTGTTCAGCTGTACTAAGTCTATTGGTTTAGTTCAGTGACAGGTTAGGTTGTATCTCTTGTCTGCTACTATGAGGACTCAATCTTTACTAATATAATATACAGTGAAACTTGGTTAAGTGGGACCTGGATAAGTGAGAAACCTCCATAACTGGAACCCATGCTGAGGTCCCAACACTTTGGCACTGAATTACCTCTGTTAGTGGGACGAGGTAAACCTCTATATCTGGGATTTCTTCCTTCGATTTACCATCATAGTTACCTCTATAACTGAGACAGCGAGTAAATTTTATATGCATAAACCTCTGTAACTGAGATAACATTGTTTGTTTACTCATTCTTATTCTACCCACAAATTCCACACGTAATTCCAAGTCCACCTATATTAATGGAACCCTCTGTAAATGAGACAGATATTTATTTATACCTGTATATCTGAGACACTGGGTAAGTGGAATACCTCTATAAGTGAAACGATATTGCAGGTCCCTTGATGTCTCAATTAACCAGGTTTCACTGTATTACTAGCGACCCGCCCCGGCTTCGCATGGGTGTAACATGCATGTATTATACATATAAACCTTTCTTAAGAATCACTCTATCTATTAAAAAAACCGCATCAAAATCCGTTGCGTAGTTTTAAAGATCTAAGCATACATAGGGACAGACAGACGGCGGATAACATTGTTATATACTATGTAGTGATAAAGCTGAATTATTTGTTTGTTTGTACAGATCCGAATGAAATATTCTTCCTATTGTGTTCGATTGTCGATTTATCGAGAAAGGCCATAAACACCAATAGGAGCGCCGAATGAAACCGCGCGGTTGAAACCAGAGCATAACTTCATCATCACTTTGACAATATAAACTAAAATACGGACTTAAAGACCTGTGTACTTTAAAAAAACACTACAATAATTACCTCTCCTATTTAGACTCTAATTGAATTTACTGTAAGTTACAGTAATAAACGAGCCGCGTCTGTTTATTTGAGAGTTTCTCTAGTTTATGGACTGGGCTAAAACTTTCAAGTCATCATAGTCCTAACTCCCCGCGAGAGTTTAATAGACTGTCAGTTAGTTAAGTGGTGCTTCAAGTAACGTATTTACTTACCATGCCCTATGTTTACTCACTCAGTTGTAATGGACGTAATAACTTCATTGTTTACCAGGAGAATGAATATTAAGTTTTGCTAAATTATTGCGTAGGATTGCCTAGTCTAATTGGATGCAAAAATACAATCGGATAGTCTTCTAAATATATGATTACATTTTTTTAATTTATATCGTGTGGTTGTAACGAAACGTCTGTGTTGCAAACAAATATCATATTCCATAGTTAATAGGGATTTTATAACTATCATAATACAAGTGACCAGAATTTAATGATTTGTTTAAACAACAGTCTATAATTTACGCCCTTCTACTTGTTGCTTTAAACCACATTTTTATGAGATAACCGAGCGGACGGATCACTTGTTGGTAAGATCGGCGCCGCTCATAGACACCCGAAACAGCAGAGGCGTTACATGTACGTTACTGGTCTTTCAGGGATTACCGAGATTAAGGAGAGGGGTGATTTGGCCTGCAGTAACTTCACTCAACGAAACACAACGCAAGTGTCATGTTGGTTTCCTCTGAGGCCGTGGTTTATCTGTGATGGTGGTTTCATTCTGGTCAAGCCAACCCATTCGAAAAATTCGTAGAAGCATGGACATCATCACACTTAAAAATCAGAATCTCTTACAATATACAGAGGAGGAGAGAGGAGGAGGAGATAACGATCTCAATCGAGCTATAATACAATTTAATACATCACAAGATCCGCGACGAAATAGACATTGTTACACTTGAAACATACCAATACCACTAATACAATGTACAATAAACGATACAGTTATAGACACTACAAAAATAACAAATGAACAAAAAACTTTGAAGCTGGTTTCTTGAATAACCTAACGTCATCATTTCGATTTACGGTACTACTCAACAGTTCTTGATTACCAACCGTTGTCTGTTTTACATTAAACCTTATAACTTCATCATTAGGTACATATTTACTTGAAACTATTTTACTCTCGAACGACTCTCTTGTATCTTTTGGTGATGTTAGAATTTCGTTTGGTGTTACTTCATCTAATGTTGGTTTATTTAATTTTATAGTCGTTATCAAAAGGTTCAGAAGAGATTGTTTACGTTTGCTTTTAAAATTACTAGTATCTTCATCTGCTACTTGGTTCCCATTGTCATCTTTGTTATTATTGTCATGTGTAGTGTAAGGTTTTAGATTGTCTGGGCTGGCATTTTTTCCATGATAAGGTTCATTATGAACCTCTGCATTTCTGCGCCTGCGAACTGGAAGACCTTTGATTTCGTCTTCGTATTCTTCTTCGGATGACTTCTCTACCACCTTTGGCAATTTGTTTTCGATGGCTTTAATTTCGTTTAATTTTCTGGAAATATAATGCAATATCAGTATCACTTATTTCAGATTAAGTCCCTTAGTCCAACTGTCTCAGCAATTGATCTTACTTTTAATGACAGCTGTTCAGATTACGATAATTTGTTGATAGATTTAACATATTATTAAAAATATATTAATAATTAAATATAATAATACTGTTAACTAAATCATCACCATCAACGGCTAAAAGACGTCCACTGGTGGACAAAGGCATCCCCCCTAGGAAGTCAGGAACTCAGTTAACTACACGCAATATGTATGATATTGGCCTTTGCTATTACAATTATTATTTTAACACTATTATATAATGCAACAGCTTTGGAACGAATGTAAACTTGGATTTGTTACTTTTATGTCCTACATTAACTGGGTTTTAAAAAAAATCTCAGTAGTAGCACGGAGTCCAGACTCCGTACCGGGTACTCCATATACCAGGCACAATTCCAGAATTGTGGCCGGTATATGGAGGCTCAGCCCCTATCACATGGGACTCATATCATAAATAGTGAAAAGTGGGTGTTACATTGTACAGTGGCATAATGTGCACCTCTGTCTACCCCTTCGGGGATAAAAGGTGTGACTTTATGTCATGTACTACATTACTACGTTAATTTATGACCAAAATTAAATTATGTTACGAAACTGAATGTTTACCCTTGCAAATCGGCATCTAGCATTGGTACAGGCAACGGCATTTTTATATCAGGCAGTTCCGGTTCTTTTTCTACTACAATCTCTGGTGTAGTAGCCTCTGTAGTAGCCGAAGTATGAGCTGAAGTATGAGCTATCGGTCTCGTGACAAACATGATGGCTCCTTCCCCTTCCAATCTTTTACTAGTCGTAGGTCTGAGTAGATGAGGAGCTACCGTGATAGCTGATGGGTATGTCGGTGACAAAACAAAATAATCCGGAACTTGCTCCCGATTAAACAGGAAAGGATTTTTTGGGATTACCCAGTTGTCACGTGATCCAATACTTTCATCAGGTACGGCAAGTCGTGCAGGGTTCACGTTAGAAGGCCAATTGGCACCACCTTGTTCCATTCTACGTCTTATCTGAGCATCAGGATTACCAGGTTCTAAAGGATTGTTATTCGCCGGAAGGTATGGTAAGAAATCGTTAGATCGATATGTGGCCTGTAAATAATTGCACATTTTTATTCAATTCAAATTTTATTTATAGGTGACTACCTCATCGCATTATTTTAATCATATTTTGAATATTATATATATATATGAATAAAAGAAAGGAAGCTTAGATATGGCAAATAAGTGGGATATTACTGGGTTTTTAGATTTTTTTATTCTTCTTTAACAATTCTACCTATCTATCGGAAGATAAAAGGAAAATTATTGTATTTTAGTTGGTATCTACCTAACACGCAGTATTTTAAAGATTAAAAGTGCTATAGTGTGCTTTATTCTTACCAACGGTGTGAGTGTAGGTCCGCCAGCAGCCATACGTCTCCTGGAGTCGATCAGAGACTGTATCGCTTTCAAGTGATCAATGGAACCTTGTGGATATTTTTTATCGATCTGAAAATATGATAAAAAATGAGTAAATAAACAATTCATTAAACAATTAAAATATGTGTTCAACTAATCATAAACTATCAACAGATATTTTCACAGCTGTGTTAACGATTTTTTTTAACTTATCAAAATTCTTAGGCTTTAAATCGAATTTCATTTCGTTTCTTACATGAAGGAGCAATTTTTAATCACCACGCTTGCTCAAGGCGAGTTGTTGATTTCAAACTGGTTTAATTAAATTAAAACTATTAATTAGAAATTATAGGTCCAGGTTTCTTTCCAATGTTTTCATTTACCGTTTGTCAGTCGTGTCTATATAATCTTAGAAAGTATAACTCGGAAAAAGTCACATATTGGTATTTTGCCAGGTTTTGGAACCATATTCTCATATACTGGAGAAGCGGACCGACCTCTGGCCACTGAATCACCACGAAATCATCCTAATCTTATATTAATTATGTAACATAGACTAATTACTCACATCAGACATCTCGAAATCCTCAGTGATTCGAGGCTTTGGGGTGTCCAAGTGGACTGGTCGAGCTGTGAGCTTCATCAAGGACCCCTCAAATTTGTGCTGGTCATCAGCTTCAAACACGGAGTCGTCCAATCTCCGACCAGACCTTATCGAGGTAGTTTCATCGTCTACTGGAGCTCCAGTCCTTACTAAAACAGAATTTATAGTTACAGTCTCAAACACTGCCTGGAGAGTTGTCACAGGCCATTAATATGATTTACAAAGACTTGATTTAGATATCGAACTGAAGTCTAGTTCATAGATTGAACATCAATCTATCCAAGACTCAACCAATCGTCATCTGCTACTCCAGGTTAAACTCCATGGCAGATTGGACGCAGCTCCCCAACGTTAATTTCAATTATACCGTTCTCCAATAACTTTTTTTGAGAAACGAAATCAACCAATAGCTTATCCCGCCTTGGGTTAGATGAGAATGAGTGTCGGACTCTTACTGACTAAAAACTACCCCGTTCCTACGCTCTTCGAGCCGGAGCTCCGGCAACCCGTTAAGCCTTTAGTGGTACTGTCAAGAACCTTGGGATTTATTTTGATCATAGTTCAGGTTTTTTGATAACAGGTTCAAGAGTTAAACAGAAAAACGTTGGCGTCCGCTAGTTCACTGAAGAGATTGCGAAATTTTTCTACCTATAGCCGACCATTCTACTACAAATTTCTGAATGTTTGTCCTTTGTGTTATGTATATGGTGTACAATATACATTTTTCTGTACTATTATATTCTATTTAGTAACACTATAATTAATGTTCACCAAAAATTGAAAACAAATACATAAAGATAGGCTTTTACTAAAACATTTTGTTTTTATCGAAATATTCATTGTCTTTGGGTACTAACCTTCAATAGGTATCAAATGGAATATTGTCATAATTATTTACGACTAGCTACTTCCCGCTCTGCTCGGCGCCTGCCTACGTTGCTTGATGTTTTATAACCTTTCTCTATACATGGGCTATTCAACACAAAAATAATTGTTCAAATCGAACCAGCTCTTCAGCTTTATATAATAGTATAAGATAGATAAAAAACCTACGATTCTCATCCGACAGGTGACCCTTGCGTGAGTGATGTCCGCTTCGTCTCCATTCCATGTCGTCTCCCACCTCATCATCAAAGATACCTCTCTTCAAGTAGATGGAAACGTTCGTCTCTGAAAGAAGTAACATTCCTTTACAAATATTCTGAAACTTTGGAAGAAAATATTGTACTCAATGCCACTGTACAATGTAACACCCACTTTTCACTATTTATGTTATGAGTCCCATGTAGTAGGGGGTGAGCCTATTGCCATATACCGGGCACAATTCCAGACTCCAGAGGTATACTGCAACCACGCTGGTTGACAGTCGTTTTGTAAACATATTGACAAACCGCTCAACCTGGTTATGACTTAGGGCCGATTCCATCAAGCATAAAAGTAATAAAGAATGTAGGCATACCATAAAATATACACCATGGCATAATCATACCATAATGATGATGTGTACATGAAAGTGAAAGTTTAAAATAAGATTTGAAAGTACCTTTCAATTCGATGTACTCAGCCAGAGAGTAATTGTATCCCAGAGCGATCCCTGACATCGATGAGGTTACCATCACGCAGCCCACTGCCGTACTGATGCAGCAGGACATCAGGAACACCCATAATCTATGAAATTATCCATACGACCGTATTAATTAAATTTCAATCTAATTCAGTTATTTTTAGCACGACAGCAAAACACATCGTCCATGACCTAAATTAAAATATTCGAACGAAAATATTCCAATACTGCATCTTATTACAAACACAACCTTGATAGAAATAAACTATTTATTAATGATTACAAGTTATTATTAAATGCATCTTGTCTTAATAATTTACCTTATTCTATGAAAACATAAAGTGTATTATTGATTGACGGGAAGTTACCTCTGGATGAGATCTACCATCCAACCGCAGCAGGTGAAGATACAACACATTTTGGTCGTTTATTTTAGATCCCATTTAGACGTACACAAAACCTGGAATATTATTTTTACATTATATTATAAAATTATAATTTTAATTTGTGTTAGGTAGGTCACAGAAAAACAATGATGATAATATTTTTTTATTATGCCATGGGTGCTCAGACATTATATATTAGTTGCGCTGGCGCAGTGGCTAGGCAACCGGCTGTTGCATTCAAGGTTTATTTATTCACATAAATATCACACCCAAATATTTATTTGTATTTTTATGAAGAATATTAGTGTGAGCTCACGATTAAACTCAATTCATTAAATAAATAACATCACGCCTTTTATCCCCGAAGGGGTAGGCAGAGGTGCACACAGAAGTAACACCCACTTTTCACTATTTATGTTATGAGTCCCACGTTATAGGGGGTGAGCCTATTGCCATATACAATTCCAGACTCCGTGCTACTACTGAGATTTAAAAAAAAAACCTTTAATACTTTGCCCGACCTGGGAAGTCACACTTGCGACCACTCGGCCTTGAATAAACAAGTCGAGAACTATTAACTCGTCGAGTACCGGTTTTATAGACACAATTAAAGAACAATAGGTCGCGGTCACCGGTGACCGCTTGGTGTTTGACAGTTTAAATTGATATCTGTTACTATATAGCTACGTATACTAAGTATAGAGTTCTGAGAACACCTGATTACCTATAGAAGAATGGGATGGGGTACGTTTGAATTTCGTCACGTAGGTATTGAGAATTTTCGGAAACTGATAGCAATCTCATACATTTTGATTAGTTATACGAAACGATGTAGATAAATAATAAATCGAAAAATGCTTCAATAGTTTATTCAACCTTTCTTTGGAGCTTAAATGACACAAGTAATAAAATAATCGAAATACTCAATCTTTGGCTTCTGATTAAGCAGTGGCTATAATCACTAAGTCTGCAAATTAGTAGAAGAATATCATTTCCTACTGATGAAGCGAAAGAGGTGTAAGAATTGTAGTATTTGACGTTCCATAGTCTGTGCCTACGATAGGAGGATGGGTCCCCATGGGAGACAGGCGTGAAGTTATGTATGTATGTATGTATAATATAATTTCCTATGTTTCTTACAATTTTGGGGCTTTAATGTAGGTTAGGAGGCGCATAAATTATTAATAGTAAAGTTAATTAAATTACGGTATTCCCAAAGTATGTTGTGGTAAAGGGATTTCTAGTCCCACGGGACATATATAGGATTATTTTATCAAAGAAAATGTTTAAATACTTGCATGCAATATTAATTGTTCTACTTAATTTTAACATCACTTTGTACACTTTAAAATGTTAATTCTATCTAGTTGTGGACCTTAGGGACGGGATCTATCTTTGTGGATAGATGACAGGAAAAAGGCTACTTTATATCTTCTTTCATAAGGTACAATATCCGTGAACGTGAATAAACATTGCGAGCAACAGTTGGATTTTTAATCTCGGAAAATTTGGCATAATTAATATGTGTTACATTTATGAAAAACTTACAATTTAGAGTAAATTTTATTGAAAAGGTCGTTCTTGTTACGTCGGTCCCTCCTTCATACTTTTAATTTGTTTCTCCTGTGCATATTACTGAATTTCTTGCACAGCTGAATTTCGTTCTGCCAATTTGCCGTAACAATTAATGACAATTTCATGTTAACGCCAAATGTCCAAACTTTGTCTCAAAAGAGTTCAAGGCTGAGAGAATAAGATAAGAATATTAAAAAAGTTTTTAATGGTGTTATCTATTATTTTCACAGCTCCACAGCGTTGTTTTCTAAATGAATGAACGTCTGTTATATTTGAGTAGATAGGTACGAAAAGACTAGAAATATCTCCGAGCAAACTCGTATAGCAATATTAAGTTATTTGATAAAAATGTTAGTGTTAGGCCGACAAAACAATGTTCCTTTTGCGTTGCGAGTAACTAGGTTAACGTAGGATAACTAAGCAGGTACACACTAGTAAACTCTACAGATGTTTTGTTATTTATACAGATACAATTGTACCTTTTAAATATAGATTGCTGTCAGCTGTTGTCTGTTGGAAGTTACCAGCGCGATCGGCGCTTTGCAATATTTTAGCCTAAGTTCAGATGGCAAGAGCTAAGGCTTGATTACCATGTTTTACTTAAACTAAATCTCTTCTCCTCTAATTTAATGTCTCGAATTTATTTTTTTGCGGGATTGGACAATTATTCATGTGTCTTGGACTTCAGTGTCCCGGTGTTTTCATAACCATGTACTGTATAGAGATCCTGGTTTACATGAGTTGCGGTTTTAGGCGGTAGTGACAAGCTTTATCAAAAAAACCAAAAGTTGAGTTTTTTTTGAGTTATTCCAAACACCGTTACTCAGTAAAGTATTTATATGGTAATTTGCAATATCCGAGTATGTAGTTCGCGGAACGTGCACAGAAACATTTTGATAAGAAAAAAAGTAAATATAAAGACGTTTGTTGAATAAGAAATTGTGTAGAAATCGGTTAGGTTTGAATAATCTTTTTAGTATTTATAGTCGAAGGGAAATATTTATTTTAGTTTGTATTCCGTCAATGTCGATACCAATTCGTGAATGCTCGTAACTTCTATGTTAGAATACGAAGTTAAACTTATTGAAAATTATATTCGTTTTGTTTTTGAGATAGTGTCTAAGTACATGCTACACATAATGATGCGGCTAATCCTGGCTATGTAATACCCATATATTGTCAACTCATTTCATGCATTATAACTTAAAGGTTTTTTATGGCATAAGCCGGTAACTGAGCAGACGGATCACCTGATGGTAAGCAATCGGCACCGCTCATGGACACTCGGAACACCAGAGGCGATACACGTGCGTTACCGGCCTTTTGGGTATTGGACATTAGGAGGATTGTGGTGGATTCAGTAATTGTGGTAACTGGGGAGGGGGAGGGGGTAATTTGATTTCCGGTAACTTCACTCATACGACGAAACACAACACAAGCGTTGTTTCACGTCAGTTTTCTGTAAGGCCGTGGTATCACTCCGGTCAAGTCAGCCCATTCGTGCCGAAGCATGGCACTCCCACAATTAATATAACTTGGCTGAGATGGAAACTCCAATGTATTGAATTAACCTTGATTTTTTTTTTTAGGATAGGACCACTCGTATTTCAGCACGCTAAGGCTGTTGACTATTTAATCGGACAAAGGAAATTTAGAAAGTTAAATATCAAGAGGTCTCATGCCTCATAAATGTTAAGAATAATAATAAAATAAAATACCTATACTAAGACACAAGTAGACGACATAACATATAAAATAACGTGAAATATTCAAAGAACTTCAGCGTTTCAGTCAAAAACGTGTCCTTATACCGTAACAGCAGTAATACTGACATTCCATACTCAATTAGGGGTTCACTTAGGCGTGTACCTAACTACGGCAGGGTTCTTCATACGTCGTCGCGCCGGAATTATGGGTCCCTGTGGGCCGGGCAAAGGCAAGCTCGGAATGCCTGGGGATATTAATCCGGCCGTCTCACACAAAGGGTTAGCATACGGAGTAATAAAATATTTTGTTAGAACTGTACTCGGTTTGTGTGATTTTTTATGTACGAACGCGTATAAGTATGGTAATCTTTTGCGGGTTCATTTGTTTGTTTTAATATTTTGGCCTTTTACTAAGTATTGAGTGTACATACATAACATCACGCCTTTTATCTCAGAAGTGGAAGGCAGAGGTATACCTCTCTCTCTCTCTCTTAGAGGTATACCTCTGCCTTTCCCTAAAAGGCTAATGTATACATTATGCCACTACAATGTAACACCCACTTTTCACTATTTATTTTATGAGTTCCATGTAATAGTTTAAAATAAATATTGAGTCTAGTAATGTCCATAATAAGTAGGTATAACAGTTATGCTGTCTAATAAATCGACCTTTGGTAGGGTAAGACGTTTTCCTCTTAACCGGTTAAATAACGGTTTATAACTAACAAAAAAATCGAATCAGAAAATAAAATTACCCATTACTTGCTCAACCCTTCAGTGCCTTCAGCGCTGTAACTTCCTGAAGACACAATAAGTCTCGGCACTTCACTGAAGGAAGCTGTTTCTTCCATTAACCACCACTTGTTGCCACGCCCGGAAACCCCGCCAGAGGGCGCGCCGAACCGCCGGAAACTACCCACGCCATATCCGGTGCGGCTCCATTCGTTCGTGTCTAAGATTAATAAATAAATAATGTTTATGTTACTGTTTCTAAAATGTTGCTAAATTATGTTTTTAACATAACTTTACATCTTTTGACATGTAATTGATATACAAATATCACTTCTATTTACATATTTTTCAAGTGTGGGAGAGCCTTGCTTAGGCACTAATGGGCCGGCTCGACCTGAGTGATACCACGGCCTCACAGAAAACCGACGTGAAGCAACGCTTGCGTTGTATTTCGTCGTATGAGTGAGGTTACCGGAGGCCCAATTACCCTCCCCTTCCCCAATCTCCCCAATTCCTGAATTCCCAACGATCCTCAAACTCCAAATCCCCAAAAGGCCGGTAAAGCACTTATAACGCCTCTGATATTCCAGGTGTCTATGGGCGACGCCGACACCGATTGCTTACCATTAGGTGAATCGTCAGCTCATTTACCGGCTTATGCCATAAAAAAAACATAGAAATAGGTGTCTCAGTACCTATAATATTTTTTTAGACCGGTATAGGTACTTAGTACAATAAAATAATGTTAAGTTAGTATCGGAAAACGTGTATCTACATTATTTGAATTACCCCACACTTGGTTTCCATACATGAAACGGTACTATTGATAACATTCGGTATTTTTCTCTCATAAAAAAATTTCTTCATCCCGCACAAAATAACGGAACGTAACGTTCGGCCAAAACACTGCTCTGAGTAATGTAAATAAGTTAAAAATAGTTTAAGTGTGTATAAGTGTGTTTAAAACATTTTTACGGACTAAGTGCATGCAAAAACTTAAGTGAAAATGTTATCTACCAAAACAAATAAGTGTTGACTTAAAAACAAGAACAATTTTACAGTGTGTTTATATCAGTGGAACACTACAATAAACTAAACTTATAAGTGAAAACATTGAGTGAATTGAAAGTTTCTTAGACTATATTATTCAATTGATTCGACATTTCTACTTAATAAAGCCAAAAACACAATTATTTCCAACTATAAAAATAAAATAACAGTTACGAATGGAATTTTTAAAATGTTCGTAAAGTAAACAAAGATCGTACTTCAACATTCACCAATCACAGATCAAATACGGAAACTTGACAGAACGATGTACGTTCAGAAACTTAAATTTGTACTTTGGACTCTTGGCTTTTAAGCTGCGTTTCGTTACGCACAGATTTTGCAATAATACAATAATATTGAATACAACAGAAGTAAATAAATATAAATAATAATGGAATTAAGTGATAACAATAACATAACATTAAGAAACACGCGAATTGTGCGTTCTCAGTCTAATATTTCTCTTAATTCATTAGACACCTCACCAACTCTTAGTGTGCAAAGCATGATGGATTTATCGACTCATGTTAAATCCGATGAGGTGATAGAATTACAAAACATAATCAAACAGCTACAAAATGAACTACTGGCCGCTCATTCCGAAATTGAATCATTGAACCTAGATAATTCCTCACTGAAACAAAAATTACAAGAAGAAATAAGCAAATATAACCAACTTAAAAAAATGTGCAATGCTTTAAGCACGAATTCAGTTACCTCGTCAAACAAGCTAAAGAGGAATAAGAAAGGTGAATCAAAAACAAAATCAAACTTTTCTGCAAGAAGACTAAACCTAGATTTCGAATTTCATACACCTAAGACAACTCCAATACCACACTCTCCAAGACAAAATGACTTACCTATCAATATTAAGGAAGTTAATGTTATTGAGTGTCAGGAAGAAAGAACTCAGGAAAATTGCGAGAAGAAGAGCACCACTTGCGAGTCCCACACATCCCCGGCGACTAATCAACAGGTCAACTGTAATAATAACTCGGTACCTGAATGTAGACAGGTAATTCTACTAGCAGATAATCAAGGTAAAGGCGTTGTGCAGAAACTTATCCATAACAAGAATAAACTTATTTTTAAAAATTATAAAATTCATTCAATTAGAAGACCGAATGCGAAAACAAAATATGTATTAGCGGACTGTAGAAATTTAGCGAAAAGTTTGACAAAAAGTGACTATGTTGTGTTAATGGTAGGCAGTAACGATTCTAATCCAGTGGAATTAATGTCTGAAATATCTATAGCACTACATTATCTCAAAGTCTGTAACGTATTTGTCATTGATGTTTTTCATAATCGCTACCTTAATGAGTACAAAATTAATTCTCAATTAAAACTACTAACTCAAAACTACAAAAATTGTACGTATATTGAAACTGATCCAAATATAGATATCTCGACACAAATTATTCACCAATTAAATATTGCACAATACAATAACACATTTCTTTCATACAATGACAACAAACTAGAACAGAGTAATAATTTTAGAAATATTGTTCGAAATCAATTTACAAAACGTAATTCAGCAGATGCGATACCGATTGTCAAACCTAAAATTAACAACACTATTTTAATAGAACCAAGAAAGGGTACAATACCGTTTTATTTTCCCGTTATTAAAAAAACAACCCTTACAAATAGAACCAACCCTTACAAAACCTTACAAATAGAACCTGACTGTAAACTGACTAACAAAAGTAATTTTTTTCGTGACTAAGCACTCTCACACAATTTTCCATCAAAATATTGCTGGTGCGTTAAATAAAACACCCGATTTAGAAATTGCATTGCAAGAGTTACAAGAGTTGGGGAAAAATGTTATAATAGTATGTCTGAGTGAACATTTCTTGAAAAAGAACGAAGAAAGTGGCCTAAACGTAGGCAATTTCTATCTGGCTGCGTGTTACTCACGACTTAATCAACGACGTGGAGGTTCTTGTATACTGTGTAGGAAAGGTTACAAAAGCACTGAACTTGACGTGACAAAAACCTTTGCTGAAGATAAAAATTTTGAGATTTGCGGCATACAACTCGATAAACCTAAAATAATCGTACTTTCCATATACCGAACACCCAACTCAGACGTAAAAATTTTTTTCAACCATTTATCAAATATTCTGTCTAAATTACAAAATAAAAAACATAAAATAGTAATCTGTGGGGACTTTAATATAGATTTAGGAGCGTCCGATAAAAATAGTATCCAATTTAAAGAATTATTAGTTAATCAGGGATTACAATATCACATAAATAAACCTACAAGACTCAATAAATGTATAGACAATATTATTAGTAACATTGACGGTGCCATAGGCGAAACTTTCAATTTCTATCTCTCTGACCATAACACAGCTCAAACTATAACGGTGGAACACCAGGATTTAAAAACCAATAGTTTCTATAATATGAATTTAAAAGACTTAAGTAAGGAAAACATTAGTAAATTTGTTCATTATATTGGTAGTCTAAGTTTTAACGAAATTTGTGAACTAAATAATGTCAACGACGCCTTTAATGAATTTCACGATCTGTTGACACTATTTTACAAACTTTGTTTTCCTACAATAAAGGTAAAAATAAATCAAAATAATAAAAAACCTAAATGGATAACCAAAGGCGTAAAAATAAGTAGTAATACAAAACGGTTATTAAGGTATAAATATTATTTAAATAAAAATAGTGAAAATAAGCAACAATTTAAAACTTATTCCAGACTCCTAAAAAAGTGTATAAATAACCTACAGTCCCTATGCAACCGTAAAGTTATAGCCCTTCACGGAATAAGGTAAAAACGACGTGGAAGGTTGTAAAAAAGAGTATGGGTAATATGCTGCCCAGAGAATTTATCGATAGTATTATGACAATTCTATAACCCTTCTTTCTGGGTCTGACATATCTAATAAATTTAATAAATATTTCATTGACATTGCCAATAATAATTCATTTAATTCAATTAATAATAATAACACGACTTGCTTAGCATACAATCACGGGAAAATAGTTTTTCTTGGAACCTACAAGTGCAACGGAACTATATTGGGTAATTCATTCGCTAAAAAATACGAAATCAGCTGGTTACGACGGCATCACAACAGACGTTATTAAATATGTGGCTCGTTATATTGCTCTGCCTTTGGCTCACATTATTAATCTGTCTTTTGAACAGGGTTGTTTTCCTGATAGATTGAAATTATCGTTGATTAAACCTTTACACAAAAAAGGTACAAAATCAGACGTCAACAATTATAGGCCAATAGCGTTAACTCCAATATTATCAAAAATATTCGAAAAGATAATGTACAAGAGATTGCTTAAATACTTGGATAGATTTGAAATTTTAGTTCCGCAACAATATGGATTTAGACAGAATAAATCGACTACCATGGCAATATTTACCTTAGTAAAAAACATAATAGAAAATATTAATACAAAAAAACCATCCGTGCCTTATTCCTAGATTTAAGTAAAGCATTTGACCTCGTTGATCATATCAGACTTATAGAGAAACTTGAAAAATATGGTGTTAGAGGCCCTGCAAAAAAATGGTTTCAGTCGTATCTAAGTAACAGACAACAGATAACAAGGGTAGCTAAACTTAGTAAAGTAACAAATACTATTGAAGATTTTGATTCTGTTCCACTTACTAATGGCTGTGGCGTGCCTCAAGGTAGTATCCTGGGGCCGCTACTATTTCTTGTGTACATTAATGACCTACCACAGTCAATAAGTCATCAGTGTGTTCTCTTTGCTGACGATACTACTATTATCATAAAGAGTAATGAACCCCAAAATTTGAGTATTCAGGTCAACAAAGCATTAGGTGAAATTATGAAATGGCTAGATACTAATAAGTTAAAAATAAACATCCTTAAAACTAATGTAATCTATTTTAAAACATGGAAAAGTAAGCCCGTACAAATTGATGTATCATATAATAATAATGTTATAGAACAAATACATTGCTCTAAATTCCTGGGTATAACAGTAGATGAAAATATTACTTGGAAAACTCATATTGCAAATGTATGTGTAAAAATAATAAATTTGTCTTTGCTTTGAGAAAAATTACATGTATAACATCCATGCAAACTGCCTTAATGGTATACCATGCATACGTTTGCTCAGTTATCCGCTACGGTATCATTGTATGGGGAAACTCTTCGGATATATCACGAGTGTTCATTGTCCAGAAGAAGTGTGTTCGTGCAATGTTTAATGTTGACTGGTGTGATTCATGTAGACCCGCATTCCAATCAAATAGCCTCTTAACGGTTCCCTGTATTTATATTTACGAGATTTCTAAATTTGTGAAAAATAATCCTCAATTTTTTGTGTCTAACAATAATGTAAATAAAAGAAAAGCTACTCATCTGGAATTTCAGTTACCTGTTCCTAGATTAGAGTTATTTAGACGAAGCTGTATTTACATGGGTCCCTTAATATATAACTCTTTACCAAAAACTATCTCCGGACTACCTTCAAATAAATTTAGTGTAATGCTAAGAAAATGGTTATGTCAGCAATGTTTTTACTCAGTTGACGAATTTCTAGCAAAAAACCCATGTAAATTCTACAATTGTGAGCGATCTGTGAGGTATAGACTGTAAACTTATAATTTAGATAAATTGTTAAATGTTCTATTTCTGTGATAAGTATTTGAACTGTATAAAGATTTGCATGTCGCCAAGCGGCAAGATGTATATGGCACCTTGACTATGTTATTATTATCACCATTATGTACCTACATTTTATGCAAATAAAGATTCTATTCTATTCTATTCTATTCTATTCTATTCTATTCTATTCTATACATATTTTAGCTTGATTAACACACTTCCTAACCTAAAGCAATATTCTATTGCCGAAAAAAGTATTCAACTTGTATGAATTCTACAAAGCTTTGCTCAAAAGAATAATAAATGTTCTATAGAAATTAAAAATTAAATATTAAGTGGGGTTTTCACGTGTATATTAAGTACGGTATGTGCCAAACATAAGGGTGCTTTAGAAAGTCAACATATTTTACGGTCAATGAACTCTAGAATAATATTGCTCCATCATTTCTAACTACAGTACAAAATGGTAGATATCTGAATATCCCTTAATAAATATTAAATGTACGGTTTACTAAGCAACCTAGCCTAGGAGATAAACCAGGCCTGAGCAGACTGCGCGTCGCGTTCCTCGCTGAGCATCAAGGAGCCATCAGACCACCACAGATGGGGTCCAACAGGGCTGATGCAGATACGGAGCCGCGGAAGACTTAACGGGTTGCCGGTGCTCCGGCTCGAATTGCAGGAGTAGGAACGGGGTGGTGCTTAGTCAGTAAGAGTCTGACAATCCCTCTCGCTCCACCCGGGCGGGAAAAATCATTAGATGATTTTGCCTCCTCGAAATAAAAGCCTAGAAGATAAAAACTGATAATTTGATAATTTATAGTCATACTAAAGGAAACGAATAGGGTTATTAATAATGATTCTAATAGGTACAGAGAATTCCAACATTTGTGTGTTCTCATGTCAAAACTGTTTCGAAAACTGTAACTCAGCATATTGCTACTTATTTTCAAAATTTTTTAGGCATATAAAAATGTGCAATGCTAGAAATATGCGAAGATTTGTCTTCGTACGACAGTACTTACGTAGTTAGAATCACCATTCCTCAGCGGCAGCACTGATTAAACATTTACTGCAGCCATCAGTGTTAAAATCTTCTTCGGATGGACTCTCCAAATATATAACCGATACATGAAAGAGAGTTTTGTAGTATGACTCTGATGCCTAATCTACATTTTTCTGCTTTGTTAGGACTATGCTATATGAAAAACTCTGCGGTATTAAATTACCCAGTCTGATTTCATTTTCCATAATTTACCATAGACCATACAATTTATGTTGATATTTAGCTTTGTTCGCAGCCGGCATCAGCGTCGTCAGTATTACTGGTGCACCTGGGTGCGGTGGGTGCGCTAGCGAGCGGTGCAGCGCTGTGCGGGGGCGGGGGTGCCTGCGTCTGCAGCGCTCTACTGCATGCGCTGCATCCGCTGCAGCTATGGACTGTGTGTGGCCTACATGCTGACCGAGCTGCTGCCATTGCTGCACCGCTGCATTATGCTGCTATCGTGTCTGCCAAGAAGGTAATAAAAATCGAATGTAAGCTGGAAAAAAATCCCCATTCTTTACTTTTTGCAATGTTTACAGTTTTTTTTTTGTTTACAGGTATTAATTTGCGTGGCAAGTGGATGGGTAGCAACGGCAGCTTTACTAGCTCCACTGGCAGCAGCGCAGCCACCCCTGGCGTATAGCGCTGGACTGGGTAACTGCGCGCCAGACTGTGGAGCTGGACCAGCTGCACTTGGTTTTTGCATCGTGTACGCTTCGCTCACGTTGATCCTGCCTGCTGCACTCGTCCTCCTCTGCAGCCTAAAGATCCTCCGCATTGCACGCTACCATCGACACAGGATCGCAGCGGCCATATATGAAGTGACCCTATCAGCACAAGTGACAGTGACACACCAAAGAAATCCATTCTCCCCTCCACCACCACCACGCAGGAGGGCACTGTCGGCAGTACTTCAGCCTCTAGGTTCACTTGCCATATTATACTTTCCTTATTACTGCGTGTTGATATGGCCAGCAGTGGCGGTGCCTCCACAGCCACTAGCTGCTCTATCTGCTGCTCTTTTAGCAGCTGCACCACCAGTGAATGGTATCTTATACGGTATAAGGAGTCGAGCATTGCGTGATTCACTTCGTAATTATAGGAGAAAACGAATGACAAAAAGCGAAGTGACACAAGAGATACAGGCGAGGACTCCCAGTGCATGTGGATCTAGACGACCCTCGTTATCTGCTGGCTCAGGCTGTATACGACCCCCGACTACTAGGAGATTATCGGACGCAGCTGCGATGGGTTCAAGAGGCTCAGAGCGACCAGCACAACGTGCAGCATCTTGCAACATGCTGCAAGACTCGCAGGAAGAGGAAGTAGTGCCACGACCTCGGACGTCGGCTATCCCTATAATCCGAGCTCCTCCACACGTGGTCCTTGGTCGCGCTCTAGGTCTTGAGGAGATGGGTGGTACGCGCGATCGGCGACGTCGCCAATCGCCACGTATCACGGTGACGCGTGCCATGTCAGATGAGAGTGAGTCGCCGACGCGGCGGCCGCTGTGTCGGCAGCAGTCGCGGTCGAGCGGGGCTCTGCTGGGCGGCGTGCCATACTCGCCCGCCATCTCGGAGCACGTGCACCTGGACAGCCACGCTGATGAGCAACTACTGCTGACCTGGCCACAGAACGGCACTCACGAGAAACACGACGCTTTATAAAACGGGTATTACGCTTAGAGTAGTCGCTGATGTATGTGTATAAATATAAAGACAATAAGTAAATGTGTGTGCGGTTCGAAGTCGAGTTGCTTCGGTGTTTTGAGATGTTGTTATTTTTTAATCGCTTCGTCCACCCGTCTCTCGACCTCCCCGGACGGTGACCAAATATTATATGAAGTTTCCTATAACTATTTACAACTGTATCGTAGGCGTACGATTTCTCCTACAGGGTTCCTCCATATCGTTAGCTTTACCTACTGAAGTATTACTTTAGTGTATCGTAAAGATAATTTCCGAAATATTCCATAGGTTTAGTGATACGAGATTATGTTGTCTTATTTTATGAGCTGTTTACTTTGAAATTTATTTGTTTAAAGTTTTACATGTAAGAGAAAGAGTATATTAAATGTTAAATGAATTTCGTTACGGACATACAAATGAAGCCAAATATATTTTGATAGTCAGCTTATCTCTCAATATGATTGATTGCAGAATGAGCCTCGTGTTACTGCGACAGCATTTATTTGTTTCATCAATGAAGCAGGTTCATTGTTGCGTTTCAGTCAGAGTATAACGTAGTTAGTATGGAAAATAATAAAAATCTATATTTGTGTAAATAATGATATTATTAATAGTATAGGTTCAGATGCGAAAAATGAAGACCGAGGTCAAGCTTGTAAGTAGTTTTGTATAGATTTATAATGGCTTGTCAAATGACGTGAGCGTATATTTCGATAAACAAGGGATTGTACTCTTGAACACATCCGAAGTAAGTAGACGTTAATTCCCTAACAATGCTCATCTAGTTGATTACATTACCTCCTTTTAATACATTTTGTGTCCTAACAGAGTCTCATGTCATTTGAGCAAGTCCGTTTAGCTTAGACCTAGGTCGGTTGAGTGCACATAGGTTTGCTAAGTGATAGTTTAAATATGCAACGCTTTTACGCATCGCAGCCGTCCAACTGGGAAACTCCTGTTCATTCTGTAGCTCCACAAGCTTGCAAAGATTATGCCAAACTTATATTAAAAGATGGAAAACGGTATATCTACTTTAAGTGAATATTTGATTTTCGGGTTATTTAAAACATAGTTTTTCTTTAAGAGGGATCATGCAATGACTCCTCCCGCCCGGGTGAGGTGGGAGGGAGTGTCAGACTGTTACTGACTAAAAATCACCCCGTTCCTACTCCTGCATTTCGAGCCGGTAACCCGTTAAGTTCTCCGTGGCTCATCAAAAACATAGTGAGAAAGCATTTTTAAAGTACCTACATACAAATTTCCAAATTTTAAGGGTAAAAGAAAGGAATTTCAAATAACAATAAAATATCATCTTACTTCCCATTAATCTAATTATCATATATTTATAATTATCATTATCATATAATATAAGTTTGGCATTATCAGACCCTTACATAAATACTATTTTCGCCAATATGTGTGGTTTATTACATAATCATTATATTTTAGGTACTTAGTACTTTTGTCGGCCTCAGTGCGAATGTATTTCTGAATATTATGCACGTCTTATTTATATGCTAAAAGCAACTTTATTTTATATGCCATAAGTTTCAGTGCAAAATTACTAGACATAGTCGTAAAAGTCGATATTTGTTTCAACTTTCTTTTACATACTTTGTCTATATAGGGACCTACTTATTAATAGACTCAATGTAAACTTCAATTGCTTTTCTTTATACAAATACGACTTTAATAACACAAATTGCGTGTTTTTTTTTTATTAATAAAATATTAATTCATTCATCGGTATAGATGAACCTGTGCTTTGAGTAAGCTATATCTATGTCCCTGTCTTACACACAAATAAATATAATTGTGTGACAGTGACAAACATAGTTTTGTCTATTTATTTCGAGGCCTAGAATGTACTGTCTACGCTTAATGAAAGATGAGGCCAATGAATAAATACAAAGAGTTAATATAGAGCTAAGAAATTATAAATATTATGTATTTTTGAAATGTTATAAATATGAGAATCCACTGTTGACACTGTTCGTACGAATTTAGTGAAATTGTACTTTTATGAAATAAAATATACATAGACGCTTATTTACTTGTTCTCAAAGAACTCTAAGTACATAACTTTATATATTTTGTTGAAGTACCTATCTAAAATACGATAACAATTTAAATATTAATTATTCTGAACGTGCATCCATAACTTTAAATACCGTACAAAAATATTTCAATAATAAAAGAAATAAAAAAGTACAAATATGTACCTAAAACTTTGGACACCGAAGTTTTCTTTTTTCAAAAATCCATCTGCAACTTCTTTTTTTAATTTGGAATATGTATTGTGTGCCTATAATAATATTATTTCGCATAGACAATTATAGATTCCTTTCAATCACATCACGAGTTCTACCATAATAATAGAGTATATTTTGTAATTATTCCAAGAACTACAGTTACTGAGAATTCTATATAATTATCATTACCTACATAATATTTTTATCTAGTGGATGGTAACAACATTGATTTTGCGATGTATTTCTTAGAAAAGTGATGTAGATAGGCATAGTGTAAAGATTTATTTATAAAAAAAGGTTTAAATGTCGTTGTTCATGGTAAATGTTTAATAATAAAAATAAGTAAATACGAATTGTTATTCTAGTCAATGAGCTGTTGTTTTATGTATGTGTTAATTTAATTTAAATTATGTATTAGTGATTAATTAAATAACACATTATGAGATGATTTATAGTTTTATTTCTAGTTTATGGAGTTTTATGAACTAATTAAGTATAATATATAACTAGTAAATATGTACAGTGTTTTTACATAATTCGATTTCTTCGAATCTGGCAAAGTGGGGTGAAGTTCGTCTCTGTATGAAAATAGATATTCCCTGTCTCCCTATTACGGAAAACTTATACGTAATTGCCTATTATTTGTTGCTTATTTACATAATTATATAAACTATTAGCAATTTCTTTTTTTTCAATAGAACTGATAGCACTGTTGTTACTTAGAGAAAATAATATTAATAATATGTAATTTACTTATACCAACCAATAAGTTAAAATCATTATATTAAATTCCTGACAAATTTCCATAAAGACATTATTCATTTTAATTAATTTATCATTTAGAATTGAAAAAATATTGTTTCATTTGTATCACATTCGTACACACACTTTTTTTAAGGGGTAAAATCATCGAATGACTGCTTTGTGATCGAATGAATTTAATTATTTTTTAATTCTTTTTCTAAGGTGTCGGGTTAGGTTTTTTTTTTTTAAGGGGGGAAAATCATCGAATGACTGCTCCCGCCTGGGTGAGGCGGAAGGGAGTGTCAGACTCTTACTGACTAAAAACCACCCCGTTCCTTCTCCTGCACGTCGAGCCGGAGCCCCGGTTACCCGTTAGGTTCTCCGCGACAAGTTGTATATATTTAATGCATCATTTCATAAAAACAACTGTCAAATAGAGATGATACATTCAATTTAGGAACAACTTACTACAATCAATGTTAGGGTTTCAGCCCTAATTAACATATATAATACAGTCGGCTAGTTTTCTCCAAAATCATCGCATTTATTATTATTATTACCTCTCCATCTTGGATATTCGTGTTCAAGTGGCGGCAGGCAGAATTTAACGGTTCATAAACTTTCCCGCGCAAATTGCTGTCAAAGTGTTGACGTAACGAACTAAAGGATTTAACGAGGTTTTACTCCACTTTAGTAAAACTAAGGGGAACATTTTAATATATTTTGCAGTTCAAATAAATAATTTTTAACCGCCACAATCAATGACACAAAATAATAAGGAATTCATTAGTAAAAAGTAATGGATTGGATTTTCTTTTCTCTTTTTTAGAACCAACTTTCCTCCACACTAGGATCTTCTCCTGTAGGTATCGTAGGTGCGTTTACAAAGACACACATTCACAAAAACATGATACCCTTTCCCGAAACAACAAATTGTGGATCATAAAAACAGTTGCTCCGTGCGGGAATCGAAGCTGTTACACGTTGTGCAGCAGCCGGTTCCCCAGCCACCGCACCAACCGTGCATTCTTAGTACCGATAAACAATTTCTCCATCTATATAAATACTTATTTGTGTATCTATCTATGAAGCTATTTTCGATATAACTTGAATATTCCAAGTTATTTATTTGATACTAAAGTCTTCGCATTCTGTGAATATTCTTCGGTATCGAAATATGCAAAACGAAGTCGCAACTGGAAATAAATTTGATCTCGTAAAGTTAGTTTAAGCTCAAGCTTTCTTCTTAGGAATTGTGTGCTACTGAAGTATCGAATATTATACCTACTTTCTCCTTACACTATTGTTTATCTGTTGCTATAATAACAACAATTAGGATTTTAACCTGTTGAAAGTGATATGTAACACAGTCAAAATAAAAGTCAAGTAAGTATATAAGTTCCTGTTTAACATTAAATAATCTAAAAAAAGCAAAAAAAAAAACCACGCGATTTTTAAAACAGTCATGGTGGGTTACCTGACTTAATATTTTGTTCTAAAAGTAGAATATAAACATCAAAAACATATCACAAATACTTTTTGTATGTTTATTTGTTTGTCTGTTAAAAACGCAAAGCTTTCAAGTTCGTATTTTGAATTCAAATAAAGGTTTTGTCCATGAATCATTCATGAATGTGGTGCCATCACAATGGAGTGAATTTTGCATCCTCTTTTCAAATTCACTATGGCTATTTTTTTATGAAAAAATATATTTTATATAAAACAAATATGTCTATGAATAGGTAGTAGATACCACAATATTTTTTGTTATTGTGAAATAACATATTGTATAAGACATAAATTGCTATTATATTTGTCCAAATAATTCTTAATTCTAAATTCTTTTTGAAAAAACTCAAAATGAGAGAGGGGGCTCAGAGGCACTCAGAGGGGGCCCCTCTACATGTAGAGGATGTGGAAGGATGTGTGAGGTAGTTGGCAGAGATGGGAACCCTGCTGAATAGCAGAGACCATAGAAAGATA